ATGTTCCGAATGGAGAAGCCAATGGATCTCGTCTTTTTGTGAGAAAGGTGGATGTGAGGGATGGTTGCACCCCCATGATTATCCAACTCGACAACGGCTGCAAGATTCGGGCTTTTTTTCTCAGGTCAAGTCAAATCTATCCTTGTGGAACATGAAATGGAGACTATTATGCCACGTACTTTTTATGTAACGGAGCAAGACTACACTTTCAGCACCAGATGGTTTTATGACGGGGAAGTTTTACACACCAAGATTAAGGGTAAGCAGTTCCCGTTTATCAGCAATTCTGCGACTACTGGACACAAATTACAGGTATATACTGCAGTGTGGTTATTGGTACATTTATGGCGATACTGTCAAAAACTGGGCTTACGTGGTGTTATCAAGGGTGCGAACCATGAGTGGTTGGTTCTTATTGAAGAAGCTGGAATGGGATCCAAAGAACTTTGCCATGCAACAACGAATGAGAGACATGCTTGCAAGATTAAAGGATACTATTGGGCTTTCTGTCCTAGGAGAAAATCAATACGATGAAATGTTCCAGCGAGAAGACGGGTTCTTGTTATAAGTATAAACAGTAGGGATATAGGGTAAAATAATCTATATATAAAAACTTTTATTACTACAACTACCTTCTGAGATTCGCATTGCACCTCGTACGTCATTCAATGTCATTCATTGAAAAAAGATCAAGTGTCCAATCAAATCACAGTCGACCCCGAAAAATTAGGAACCAACTTTTATAAATGTGAAAAGCGAGGAGACTTTCATGTGCATGTACATGCGTTGACTGTATCCCGTTAATACAATACTAGTCGAATACGTAGACTTCTACAGGGCCTTCTAAGTAATGCGCGCCGGGTATAATTCAAACCTCTGCCCCCATCGGTACATTACCCCTAAAGCAAATCGTCTCCAGGAGACGAAATTAATAGCTTATTAAAAATAAAATACCGATACTGGTGTCTCGTAGCAGTACGGTATCAAATGCCGCAATATTATTGTTATGACGGTGAAGGGTCGTTTTTTGTCACTTCCACACTTCGCTCCTCAATCATTGCGGACAGCTCCTATCGGTATCCAACGGCCTCCATTATTTCTTCTTCGTTCCCTCTCTTTCACAGCCAGCCGCAGAGTGACAGTCAAGTGTTCCTGTCATTGCAGCTTCTTCCACCGCTTCACGCCTTCCATCATCGTCATTGCAGCAGTGCATCCTTGACTCTTCTTGTTGTGTGCCCACGTCTGAGGAAATTGACGAAATGCCCAATCGCCGACGCCCTCCCTCGTTGAGGAAGAATCGCCTCAAGTCCACCCTCGAGATTCCATCATCACCAAAACCTCAAAGACAGATACTACTCTTGTTTACGCGTGAGCAATGCTGAAGCAATGCAAGTAGTTGCTATTTGCGAGCAGTGTCCTTCTCTGGCCACCAGCACATTCAAAGACAATATTACGCCTCTCTCCTTTTTGATCGTGGCCAACGCAAGCTTGGAAGTGATCCAGTCGTTTTGCCAGAAGTTCCCGAATGCGGCGAAGGTGAAATGGTGCCCCCCAGGCTTTTCTCCTCAGGTACTACCGCTCGAAACAGCCATAAATTATGGGTACCACCCGGGCTGTGGAGTCATCCCTTGTTTGGTGGAATTGTATCCCAATGCAGCACACACTGATTTAGTTGTTCGGCTTGTTCACTACGAGGACGGAGTCATGGAGGATATCAAAGCATTGTTGGAAGGCATTTTACGAAGCGGCGGTTTTCAAACGAAGGAAGACCAAGAGAATCTGCTTCATCGTGTCTGGTCAGAAGACCCCCACCCAAATGTGCTGGAATACCTTATTCCAAAGTGTCCACGCGTTTCACAATACCCAATCTTGGAGAATACCTGCTATGAACCTCAACCGGGGATAATTACAAAGTTGCTGCCTCAGCTTGTGAAATTGGATCTCACCGTCAGCTTGGAACTACCTGGGCGGCAGAATTTCCCAGAAGCATTGGGGGCATCCCATTGCCTGGAAGAGCTCACTTTGCGATTTGGGACGCGGCTGGCTCCAGTCTGGGACGACCAAGTTCCCACGTCTGTTGCGGAGTGGGCTTGGGCTGCTATGTACACCGCCATTGGTTCCGTTCCAACTCTCAAGAAGCTGTGGTTGTCAAAACAGCTCGATCTGCCCAAGAGCAATGATGGTATCACAGCGGCAGTAGTGAAAATCTTGGGACGGAACACGTTGGATTCTTTGACTTTGAAGGGCTTTCGTGTTGACCTTGATGTCATTATTGCAGCTCTCATGCAGTCTGCGGCTCCCCTTCGAGAGTTGGACATCCGCAAAGATTGTGTGGAACTGCACCAGCGTAAAAAGATCCTGGATTGTTTGAAGACAGAAAATACTACCTTGACTCGCCTGGGAGGCCACCTGGTGGTTGTCGGTGGAATCACTGACCAACTCAACTACTTTACACTACTCAACAAAATGGGGCGTGGTTTGGCTCGGGACACTTCGACAACTGCAACTGTTCTCGTTGGGCTTTTGCACAATGCAAACAAAGATGGGGACATTGCGGCCGATGTGACCAAACTGGGTGTCCTCTATGGCCTATTGCGAGAGTCCCCCAGCATCTGGTGCTTCAATTAGAACTGGTGGAAGATTTGCTTTGCAATGCAATGTGTGAGTTTTCGAAAGTTGATGCCTCAGCTGATGGAGAGAAAAGCACTCGATTGAGTGGTTGCTTGTAGCCTCTTGATACCAAGCCGAAACTCAAAGCTTTAGGAAGGAAGAACTATACATGTGTTCACCGCTGCATGTAGTGTTCAGTTTCTCAACTAGCTGGTCAAATAGACACCACTAGAGTCTATGCCTATAGCTGTTGCGTTGTCCGTCTCTCCTAGTGATGTAGGATATCCAGGCAACCAAGCTAGCGACGGCCTGTTTGTTTCAAACCGTCACCACCGGAGAAGCTCAGGCTGCTGCACTTAGTGAGGAGCCCCAAGCCTACCGTACGAGAACCTTGGAAGCGAGCGATGCCTATGGCACTGAGCACAGAAGACCGGAGATCGAACGATTTGGTTCTGAAAGTCACACGAGAGAGTTCGAGAGAGAGACAGCCAGGAGAACTGCCACTGCTGCTGCCGGTGCGCTCCAACTAGTTGCTGCAGCTGCCACCTGTTATCGTCACAAAAACTCTGCTCCAACAGTTGCGCCAGGCTCTTGGAGGCTCGGGAGGAATACGCCACCCCGGCGAGTGCAACGAGTCTCGCAGTCCGAGAGAGAGGCACCAGGAGAGCAGCAAGGTGGAATTTCCATGGCACTTTGTGCTTCCTCAGCCTGCTCTTTTTTGGCCTCTCCTTTCTAGTACCGTACGGTATTTGTAGGTTGTGCCCAACGACGGGCAAGACGGACGGTTGAGAATGAGCTCTCTTGTTATAATGATATGTCGATTCGATTCGGCAGAGCGCCCATCGCTGTATGTAATATTTAGTCCGTTTGGTTCTTCCTTTCTCTTTCCACAAGAACATTCTCTTTCCCGCAATCTCAGCCAGTAATAGCAGACAGGCAGGAGGCGTATCTTTTTTCTTCTTTTTCACACTTGTCGTTTTTTTTTGTCACACTGTCGTTGTTCTCAGTTAGATACAGTTGTAGTTAGTTTCGTTTGGATTTGCTGGGTTGCTGTATGTTGTGATGCGCATTCTTATTCTTGTTCAAGTTCTTTTGCTGTTTCGAGTTTCTCTTTTGCAAGTCTCTCGTGGCGGCCTTTTGCGAGCGCTTGTCGTCCTTTTCCGTCACATTCTCTTGGTGTTGCTTTTCGGCAATCGATTCACTCGTTTCCTGGGCGGCACGCATGCCTTGGTCGACACGGAAGAGAGCCGCAATCAACACTGCATCAGCAAAGGCAAAGGGGTAGGTGGCTTCCTGTTGTTGTTGATGTGTGACGAAAGCATGAAAGAAAACGAAAGAACAAATGAGTCTCCCAAAAGATACGGATCTTGTTGTTCTGCCTTGTCGCTCCGACTCACCGGAATTTCCCAGTAAAAGTAGTTCAGGATGGTAAGCGCCATGGTGGATTCGATTGGTTTAGTAGTCTGTCTAGAGTTTGTGTTGCAGTTGTTTGTAGTTAGTTGCTCGGTTCAATGGATTGTGATGAGTGTGAAGTGTCAGATCTTTTTGGCTCTTCTCTTCGCCTCTAAAGAAGATGCGGGTGATGTTTTGGATGCAAGAGTTCTCGAAGAAGATCGATCTTTGAAAGGACCGTTCAGTACTGGGAGTACGTAGAAATATACACAAAGAGCGCCCGCCACCTCCTTCTCATTTTGTTTTGGGTGCCGCCCTCATCAAACGGAACCGAACTCAGGGAGATCACTGACTAAGCAAGTCACTCTCGCTCACCAGCTGTTCACAGGGAGTGTCGAGCAGCTCTGTCGAGCTTCAAAAGCATCCTTCCATTCTTGTACCGGTACTAGTACATCTTGGATATCTTTTGAACAACACAACGTCAAAGCCATGCTTTTGGGTCGAGTCGAGTCGGAGCAGCTGTTCAGAGCCCAGTTAGCCTACCGGTTGCATACGGGTTCGGGGTAGTCGAGTGCATCCTTCCCTCCTTCCACAGTTTATCAAGGATATCGTACTTTTTTACCAAGCTGTCATAGATCATGCAACTCCCTAAAGTCCAACCCGTACAAAACCACCAGTCCATCCCAACACAAACGCAATATACATTCTTTTGGAGTGCGATATTGACCAGCCAGGGAATCAAATCGAATCAATCCTTCCGTTTTCCCAGGATGTACTTGCGGTCTTCGTAGGCTCAGGCAAACCTGGTCGCTATGTATAGTTACCTTCTATTGTGCTTGGAGCGGGCATTCTGGCAACTTGTCGTTGTGCTCCAGCAGTTTGACTTGGGCCGATTGTAGTGGATCTTTCGTGGAGGTATGGTCGTGTGAATTAATTCACGAGTATGACGTTGAGGGTGCAATACTGGTTACATGTATCTGCGGCAATATTATTGTTATTACACCTCACGCAAACGCTGCAAGCAACTTGGATGTCATTGTTGCTCGCTGGTGATACAATGCCGGCACTGGAACTGGCGGCTTGACGCGCTACTTAGGCCAGTGGGCTGCACGATCGACCACGTTCAGTGTGAAGGGGAAGGCCATGTGAAGTCCTCATAAACTAAATCAAACAAGCTCTTCAGCTTCTCAAAAGCAACAAAAACTGCAAACTTGACCTTGTCTATCATGACGACTTCTACTACTATCCACCACAGGCAGAAAAGGACTTCTTGGATCCTTGGTGCCCTCGTGTTTTCGATTCGAAGTTGCTCTGGGCTCTTCTTTGACCAATCCGTGGTAATCGACCCCAACGACCCCCTTGAAAACACGGGACCCTCGACTGTCATCACAGAACCAGTGCAATTTGCCTTGGAAACAGATACTCTCCAAGGAGAGATGTTCATTCCCAGGGAATCAGATGGTTCGTTTACCGAAATCTATGGGTTTGTGCTTTTTATGCCCGGTGCAGGAAGCTCTTTCACCATGTACGAAGACTACTTGAATCATCTGGCCTCGCATGGATACTTGACGGTCGGGCTGGACTTTGCCTCCCGAGGAATCACCACAGAGAGTGAACACGACCTCAAGGCCCAACAGGCACTAGATGTCATTGCTGCTGTGCAAAGTATGGACTCTGCCTACGAATCATTGCCTGTCATTTGTGCTGGCCATTCCCAAGGTGGAAAGATCTCGTTCTATGCTGCTTCTACGGACACAACTGGCTCTATCAAGGGTGTTATGGCCATGGACCCTGTCAACTCTGGTGGTCCTCCTTGCTTCCTCTTTCCGAATCTATGTATCAAGTATCCGGTAGCCCCCAACACCGAGTCTGGACAACGTGGCATCATGCATCAAATGAGTGATGGAACTGGCAGCATCATTTTCCGGTCGGAACCAGACTTTTTTACCAATCCTGATGAACAATTCAACGCGCAATATTTCTACTATGGTTCTGATGGACAAGGCACCGATGCTGCCCCCTCGCCAGCGTTCTATTACGATATGGGCAACTTTGGTCATACCGCTTATCTTCCCATGCTTTGCTCGGAGCAAATTCAACTTATCAAGCGAAGCATGGTTGCTTTTCTACAACAGCACATCCAAGGCATTGGGAGAGACGACTATCTCACTGGAAATATCGTTCAGGCAGACATTGACTCGGGGTATCTTAATGCTGTAGAGTCTCGCTAATTGGTTAAATATAGATCCAGACAAAGAATACATGGTACTTATTAGTAGATTGTGGTTTGCCTCACCATACCTGTACCATCAAAAGCAGTTGTTTACTGAGCAGTCTTGTTCGATTGGTGCTCAAGAGACTCATGGTTCAATTGGTGGCAATCTGGGAAGGCCAGCAAAACTCAGAACAGCTGACACGCAATCGTCGGGGACTTCCATTCTTCGACTGCTTGCAAATGTTGCAATCGCTTCAGCTGTTTCATCCATGGTGAGTAAAAGAACTTCTTCCTGAAGCTTTCCTTTGAGCTGTTGCCACCTGCGCTTGTGGTTTGACCCGTGTCCATGCTGCCTGATCATCCTATGGCGGCTGGGTCCTCCCACAACAGGAACAATGGATTTCTTGCAGAGGCCACAATACCCGTTGGAACAGTCATAGTAGTCTATCTTCCTACATCGAACGACCTGCACTAGTTTCTTGTGATTCTTTCCCGCCTCGTGCACCGCTGCGGACGCCTTTGACCAGCCCACAAAGCAGTCACATAGATCACAGTGATATCCTTCTTTCTTGTATTCCCTGCGGAATGGGGAGACAAAGCGCCTGAGCCTTCTCTTCTGTCCTTTTTTACCAGGCATGGTGACGATGATGTGATATGGTACTTCTTTTTCCTTTGGTTGCATGCTAGCTCTACGCTCTGGAAATTTTCAGGTTTTCAGGGGAGCAACGATAACAGCGGTGCAATCGAAACCCGGAGTTATGATATTATACAGTACAATTCAAGGTCAGCGATCATGATTGACGATTGAATGGTACACAGTGTATGATTCAATCGACGCAAGTGATGCAAGAAAGCATGTCTGGCGGGGACTGCGTGCAGGAATGACTCAAAAGAGGCCAGCTCGCCAGCTCCCAAGCAAGTCATGCTTGTGTCAATCGGTTCAGAGCTCAATTGCACCGAGCGGTTTTGGTAGCCACGAGCCTTGGACGCTGTATGATTCATTGCCGGCAAATCTATCCTGGAGAGATCCCTCCTTTCCCTTCTCGATGATCTCATAAATCAAAATCACAAACAAAAAACACAATAACGAAAAAAACGAAAACTGGAAACGACAACAGCAACTTCAAGGATACAATGAGCCTACAAAAGTCTATCATTCTAGCTCTGCTTTCACTCAGTGCCAACCGATCAAATGCTGCCATATACACGCCAGATACTTCACCACAAGCTCTAAGCAACATGAGCGAAGAAGTGCTCATGATCAGTGTCAACAGTGTCTCCAACATGGTTGGACAACAAGCTGGATGCATCACTGATGTCCAAGTCACTGCCACTGTGGTTGGAGTTAACAAGACCACCCTGGGTTTTGAAACTGGAAACACGGTGATCTTCAATTCTAACTACAAAAATGAGGGTTCATCTCTTTGTGATGGGTTTGTGGGACCCAAGGCTCCACCGAGGCTATTTGATGGCTGGGTCGGGTATGCCTATTTGAATGATGGAAGTGCCACAACAACAAGTGGCATTTTGGGTTTGGCAGCCCAAGGATTTAGCTTGCAAGAGGAGATCTACTTTGGGCCCGGTCCAGTCATTCTACCACAGGTGTCTACTTCATCTGAGAACCAAGGATCAGCCACAAAACCGCCCAGAACGTTGGTTGAGGCTCCTGTTAGTGAGAGCAGCATGTACAACTCCTGCGATGAAAACTTGCTCATAAGTGTCAAGAGTTTGGTCGAAGTTGAAGGCCAATCGCCTGGCTGCCTCGTGTACTATCATGTTACTGCTGAGGTTGCAGAGGCGATGAAGACCACTCTTGGTTTCAAGGCTGGCGACGCTGTCAAGTTCACATCATTCTTCTATAAACAAACCCAGGCTTGTCAAGGCATTGCGGGTCCATCGTCGTATCCTTTGAAACTGGGCTGGTGTGGAAAGGTCTACCTTAATGACAATGGTGCTACAAGCATGGATGGTGCTCTGCAGCTGACGGCGCATGGCCAGAGTTTCGAGGCTGCCGATGCTGATCAATGTGCGACTGTGACTACAGTGCCACCTACCAGGAAACTGCGTGGTGCATTGAAGGTCCAAATGAGCGAAGAAGCTTAAGTTCTGAGCTGGAATAGAGAATCAAGTGATAATAAGAGGAATAGAAATCAGTGTTTGACATAATATGTACCTGTAGCTGAAATGTAGATTCATTGGTATTCTTTGAAATACATGTAGGTCTGGGGCCTTTTTCTATTGCAGGGTTCCACCAAAGCGCACGCAGAGCCAGAAGAAACAAGGGTTATCAGGAGACACCAATTTTTGGTAAGCGTCCCTCCATCTTGGTAGCATGATCAGTCGTCGGAGTCGCTCATAAGGAGCTCTATTGTTGCGGAACCAGAAGTTTCACCGCTATCATTTGTATTGTTGTGTTCCTGTATCAGGTAGTAACCCTTGCCAGGAATATAGTCTGCTATTTGGGAGGTTCCATCTCCGTCAATCCAAATGTAAGCGCTTGATTCATTGGTGTATTGATTGCCGGTAAGGCTCCACAGAACATGGGTTGCATTTGTGATTGTTATAAAACCATTTCCCCAATAGCAGCAGCTCCCATCGGCTGCAGCATCCGTTATTTGCACACGATGAAGTCCTGGATTGGCGGTCAGATTGTACGACGAGATTCCGTTGGATCGGAGCGATGGCTGCTCCGAAGTTATATCGAGCGATGACTTTTCCGCACTTATATTGAAGGAATCGGTGTCAATGGCCTTGGGTGTGATGGGTGTATTGTAGGGGATACTGTTCAGTCTGATCCACTTTACGTGGGTCTCTTCTGGGTAATCATCATACATGACGTTGACGGTTACAGTGTATAGACTGGTGCGCCTGGAATAAGCTCCCGGCCACAGAGGATCATCCCTCTCGGCATCGTAGGAAGTATCCGATGCCGGGATCACGTCGTCTGTCGTACGGGGATCATTGTCCACCCAAAGAGGCTTACCATTGCCATCAATATTAATGTACCGCTCCAATGAGGATCCGTACGTTCCCTCGTGGTGAAAGACGGTGCGATTGGTGGCCACATTGACAATTTCAATGTACCCCCTTCCAAAGATACAGCAAATGCCATCGCCGGCGCTGTCAAAGACGCCCAAGTAGAGCCGACCAGAAGGTATATGTCGGGGGATGATTTCTTCAAACATAAAGAGCCCATCAGCCCCCTTCTCGACGGGGACGGTATTGTAGGGTACAGACCAATAGTCTTCATTGTAGTCGACATGTCGAAAGGTAATCGACACCTCATTGGGATAGGCATCGGCAGCTACAATGACTTTGAGCACCACCGCGGCCGTGGGCGATTTATCTTCCTTGTTGCGGGCACACAAATGCAGAACATCGGGTGCACAAGTGCTGGGAGGGTAGCAGCTATTGGCACATACCTCCTCGTCGATCCAAGCAGCCAAGGCACTGACCCGTGTGTAGACTCCTGGGAAGCCTGCCTCGGCGCATCCTCTACCAAAACTGACCAAGCCCACTTGCACGCCATTGGCATCTACCAGGGGACCACCGCTGTCGCCTGCAACAGAACAAAAAAACTACGACGTGAGCCACCAAAACAATATCTGGGTTTTGCTGCTGTGGTTGTGGTGGTGGCGTACCTTGACAGGTGTCTCTTCCACCCTCGGGATACCCCGCACAGATCATGACGTTTGGGAAAATTTCTCCTTCGCCGTACCGTGAGGGACAAGTGCGGTTGAACGCCGGTACCGTCAACTCGTACAATTCTGCCACTTGCACCGATTGACTGACTTGTGTCACACCAAATCCCATCACCAACAAGTCATCTCCGGCGTGTGGATTGCTGTGGTTTCGGTTGTATTCGACGGTCGAGAGTCCCGTACTGGCGTTGAACCATTCTTGTTCCGAGACATTGAACCACCGGTCCATCAAGGCACTGGAATTCAACTTTAATAACATGGCGTCAAACTCTTCCGTGTTGTCGTTGTAGTCGGGATGAGGTATCGATTGGACAAAGGTTCGTCGGACGCCTCCATTGGCTTGGAGCGATCCCAGATACACGTTGCGGTGATGACTGGTCCGACCGCAATGAGCGGCTGTCAGTACCATGTCGGGAGCTACCAAGGAAACACCACAGCCTCGATCCCATCGCCCAAAGAAGGGATAGGGAGTCGTCGAGAGATTCCCTCCAATAATTTCGGCATTGATATCCGTGTAGTCCACCTCCTCGGCTATTGGTTTTGGCGGTGGTGGTGGTGCTGATGCTGCATCCATGATGAAAGTATGATCCCCCGAAAAACTAATCTCTGGTTGCAATGCAGGAGGTTCACGCCCATCATTGTTGTTGGGTTCTTGCAGATGTCGTCTCAACTTGAAGTGTCCGTTTGCAGTGACAATGCCAATGTTCCAACCAACGGGTAGAACTGCAAGATTCCAGAGTGTCCAACATCTCATTCGTCGCATGCTGGGTATCTTTTTTGCTGCAACTAACTGAAAACCAAGAGTGCTTCAACATATAGCTACCACGTAGCTAGTTTGTTGACTTTTGGTCCAAGAGAAGCTGCTGCTTTTGTTAGTTTGGTGTACCTGAACCACTGGTACTCCACTCAACCATTGACACCATTGACACCAAAGCATGTGAAAGCGATGACGAATGGCTCTTTTCTTCTGTGTTCCTGTGGAGTTCCTCCTGCGACTTAGGTGAAATTTGTCTAATTACAGTCTGCTCAACGGCACTGGGTTTGCCTCGCAGGCTTGGGTTGAACACTCCACAATATCGTTCGCGGACACCCTTCCTGCCTTTTGCAGTCTTTTGAAAGTGATAGCCTTCTCACACATCCATGGCCATCGCAATCCAAAGCATCCTTCTCAGGGGGAATTGAAGACGAAGTGTGGCGTCTGCAATCAGCCATGACGGTTCTAGACTATGTGGCGGAGGCTGGTTACTCGAAGGATTTTTGGTGCTTGGAGCATCCATCCACAGAGGGAGAGCGTCATAACATCATGAACGCTATACATTTACGAATCTGGTAACTGGTCATGTTTCACATAGTCTCGCGGAAACAAGTTGCTACTCATCCTCTGCTAGAAAGACGTGCTGGAACCTCGGTCAGAACTTCGCCAGAGGTGGAAATCTTGGGCACAACATATGACACTAACACCACAACAGCCAAAAAATGTTTTCATCTGATAAGGCTCTCACTGGCGTGATCCCCACAGAAGTTGGTCTACTTATCAGGCTTATCAGGATTACCTATCCCCACTGAGCTTGGTCAGACTGGCCTAGCTCTCTACGTTGTATTTGAGCTGCTACAACTCCTTGGCTGGCCAGATCTCCACCATGCTTGCATTCTCTACAATATCGCTGCGTTTGGCTGATACCCAAAGGACAGGTTCACTGAACTTGAGAAGCTTTGACAGCATTAGCAGCTCTTTTCTATTCTTTTCAAGCCTTCGGACTGGATCTGTTCCAATTGATCAATCTTGGATCCCTTGCAGCCATGGCATCATCTTTGTGGTGGTTTTCCGACCCCAACCCAACTTGAGCTTGTATGACAGTGTTCTCAACCAATCCAGTTTGCTGATGAGGTTGGATGTGTCTACTTGGTGTCTTTGTTGCCATAGCCTTGGCACGGACGATGGAGTGCACGTTGATGGTATCTGTCTTGTTGTGGGTGCTGGTCCTTGGTTTCATTGTGATTTGCATTTTGCAACGTGGAATCGGGAGGTTTTTCCTTTCTTAGCATTGGCATGAAAAGCAGGGGCGTTGCCGTGGAATCTGGCTTTCTGTAGATGTTTAAACAGTCATGCGCTGCTGCTGACTATGCATAGTTTATCCTTATTATTTGTACATCGTACCTTACTTCAAAGATGCGTGACAAAGAGTAGCCTGCCGTTGCAGTGGCCAGTGCATAATTAGACTTGGTAGCTGCAGACCTGCCTCGAGAGTGCATTGTAACTAATCGACGACGATCCTTGATATTCATGAAGCATCACTTTTCCGACACAAGAGATTGATCGAGCTTGTTTCCTGCGAGACACGGCATGCTTTCCTTGAGACTTGCACGACTCTTCGACTTTGCCACGTCGTCCTCGTTGTCTCAACAGCACCTGCCGAGTGCATGCGTCTGGAAGCTAAACAATCACACAGATCGTTCACACAATAATTCCTTTTGGTATGGATGACTTGCTTACTTACTTCTCCAATACTGACATGATCTCCCAAAGCTTCTATTCTGCCGCTTCTTCCGTATCGTAGATATTTGTTGGCATTCCTTCATTCATCCATTCCATAATGGCATGTCTGATTGATTGATTAGATTATTGATAGGCCGCCACATGCTGCGCAAATGCCCGATTGAGTGTTTCCGTGGTTTGGTGCCAATGATGCTTGGCTTTCCACAATGCCACGGCACTCGCTCCCGCTGTGACGGCCCCATAAGTGACGACGGCGGGTACCAAAAAGGGCACACTGGAGAGTGCCGTCAGAGCGGCGAGTTGTGCCCCTCCAACAGCCCATGCCCCATTTTCGACCGTCCCTTGCAACCAATATTCGATTTGACTCGTCTGGTACTGTCCGGTTTTGCACCATACCGCGACGCATTCGCAATTGGATTCGTGGAGTAAATACGACGGCAACAATTCCGGTCGTTGGAGGAGAAATTCGACGCGCGCTCGGACCAATTGGGGAGGACACAATGGAGTGTGGGTGCGCATTACGACGGGGGGTCTATGATGATGACAGTGTTTGTCTTGCTGCTGCTGCTGCGGATTATTGTCGTGTTCTTCTTCGACTGACGGTGGGTGTGATGTTTCTGGAGTGTCTTCTTCTTCTTGTATGTACTGTACTTTGAGCCATTTACTGGCTGGACTGTCGTAGACTTTGAATCCTCCCGCCGAGCCACCATCAGCAGTGCTGTTATTACTGGTACTGGCACAGAGTTGCGTGAGTTGTTCGAAACTTCCTGATGTCTCTTCTTCTTCGTCCATCAAGGAGAAATCGGCAATCCTCAAGATCCAATCACCCAAAGCTTCTTCTTCGTCGGGCCGCCGTCTTCGGACGCCAATGACAATCCCATGATGCTGATAGACTTTCTGCAGGACTGCCACATCGCACCAAAGATAGACATGATCGCCCATGGAAAATCCGGATGATGCAATACTGCTGCTGCTGTTGTTGATTTGACAACTTGTCACTTTGTCGACAAATGCTCTGTCAGTTTGTGGTTGTGAATGATGATGTTGATCCTGGAGAGTTTCTCGCAACGATCTTGACCAAAACAAAAAGCTGTCGCATTCTATAGTTGAGGGATCTCGTTTGTTTGAGTCGTCAGGTCTTGAATCTTTGTCCATAGTGGGGTCCACCATTGTACCGGTAGTACAACTCTACACAATCTAATGGCATAGAAGGCTACCGGTACTAGCACTAGTAGAGCTAGCTAGCAGCAACAGGTATTGTTGCCGTCTTTCGATTTCGGAGTGCTGCTTCCGCTCGCAACGTCGACGTCGTTGATGAGTGACGGTCGAGTCGAGTGACGAGTCGAGTCGAGTCAATTGGACGGTTTGAGAAAAAAATGATTAGTACCGGTACGGTAGGGTTAAGTTGAACTTGTGAGGAATCCAGAAAATTGAATTGTGTGAAATCACAAAATCGGAATTGTGAGGAATGGGAAATCATCAAAATTGAAATAGTGAGAAATCATGAAAATGGAATTGTGACGAATCAGAAATTGAAAATTGGAATTGTGAGAAATCGAGAAAGTTGGAATTGTGAGGAATCGGAAATGGAAGAGTGAGAAATTGAAAATTTGAATTGTGAGGAATCAGGAAAAATTTAAATTGTGAGGACTCATAAAAAATTTAAATTGTGAGGAATCTGAATTGAAAATTGTAATTGTAATTGTGAGAAATCGGAATTGAAAATTGTAATTGTAAGGAATCGAATCGGGAAAGTTTGAATTGTGAGGAATCAGAAAAATTGTAATTGTGAGGAATCGAATCGGGAAAATTGTAATTGTGAGGAATCCAAAATGAAGATTAGAATTGTGAGAAATCATAAAAATTGGAATTGTTTGCAATTGTTCATGGAAAATCAATGCGCTGAAGGCGTGCACGTGTGATGCTGACTAGCTAGTAGCGGCCTTTGATGTGGAGAAGAAGATGTATAACGCCATGTACCGGTAGGTAGATACTCTAATCACGACGACATCTACTAGTACCGGTATCCATCCATCAATCTATTCTACATGCTGCAACTCCCCCGTGGCAAGATCCACTTCTACCGTTTCGTACTCTTCGTCATCATCTGGCAAAATACAGAGCACTTCCTTGGCACTTATCTCGCAAAGTGCCTTTAACACAATCGAATCCCCACTGGCGGCTGCCAATTCGCAGTTGGGTTCGTGGGAGCGGGGCAAATCATCCGGGATTTCATCGTCCCGGAGCACCACTTCTCCCTTTTGAAAATCGCGGAGTGCCACGGCGCGGGGATCGACCCGTTCATCGGCATTGTATTCATTGTCGTTGTTGTTGTCAGTATTGTCATTCGCCAAACACAAGAGTTCTCCCTGTGAAATGTCACGAGTGGACACGAGCACAATGTTTGTTGTTTGTTGTTGTGGATCATCGTCATCCTCCTCTTCTTCATTCTCCACTTCTGCCAATGCACAATTCACATCCTCCAAGATGGCGGTCCGAGGAAAGTCGTCGGGAATATCGTCTTCTTCCAAAACCACCTCGCCTTTTTGCGTGTCACGAGGACATGGAATGGGAAGGTAAAAGTGTCGTGCCACACTGATACTCCAACAACAACAACAATCACTACGGGTCCCTTCCAGTTCGGTACAATGATACCAAATGCGAGTATTCAAGACGAACCAATCGCCTTCTTCCACTGTGATTCTCAACCGCAAGGCTCCTCCTGCGGTGGTATCCGTGGTAGTACTAGTACTCTCCAATGCCGGTACTTTTTTACCCTGCGCTTCAAAGAGCTGTCCATGAGGCCGTACGAGCCACGTCTTGTTGCCTTTGAGTTGATAATGCCAGGTTCCACTGTGCGGCACTTCGTCGACGTGTTCGGCGCGTCCCACCAGGGGTCGTTTGCGCTTCTTTTTGTTACTACTACTATGGGTGCACCCACAAAAGATCCAAGCACCACCCGTCACGTGGACATCCGGTAGAATCATCGAACAGGAGGGGAGGCGCTCCAAAAGATCTGACAGAGCCGCCGTGTCGTGGGGGATAATGGTGGAAGCATAAAAGGATTGGGTCGGTTGTGATTGTTGTGCAATGATCGTGGGAGTCACGTCACGGTCGGACTTGTAATCTCCTCGATTTTCCACCGTCCATTGTGCTTCACAGGTGGACACATGCTGATTGAAAAAGGCGGAGAGTGGATTGCGTTCTTCGTTATTGCTGCTGCTGCTGCTAGTAGAGCTTCCTCCTTTGACCCATAGAAAACCATGAGTCAGAAACTGATCCAAATAATCAGAAGGCGTCAGACTGGAACTGTCGTTGACCCGTTGGAAGGGGCATCGCTCTGTGGTGCTCTGCTTTTTGTCCTTCTTGGTCATGGTGGCTATTGTGGCAAAAGAAAGAAATGAGGGACAAGGCGCCAAGCTAGTAGCAAGATCTTCCGGATCTTTGGTGGCCTCTGGAAAGGTTATGGGCCAGCTCGCCAGCTCCAAGGCCAGCATTTCCCAATCAACTCCCGGGGCCCAAACAAACTCGACCCCGACAGGACTGTACTGTACTACTGTACTTCGGTGAGCCGGTATGCAGCGAGATGAACCTACCCGAAACCTTCTACCGTACTGGAAGGGTGGAAGTGGACAAGACAGCAGAGCACCTTCAACAATGATCTTGCTTTTGATTGGAGCGCAGCCATGACGGGTGCCGACTAGTAGGGTAGTCTAACTTTCGGTGGCTGTGCGGTAGATTCAATCCAGAGAGACCTGCCAGTGACCACGAAAACTGATGATCCAAGAGTTGCTTGCTTCGATTATCAGATCCGCAGCCAGCCAACCGACCAGGATACTTCTTGGATACTCAGCCACCGTAGCTCCAGGATAAAGGTTGGGCTCCAGAAAAGGAAATGATTTGTTAAATATTACGATATTCAGCTAGATCCACTGTACTCCAGCTGCTCCTTCATACAAAATAAATAGGCCACTGTTGCCAACATCAGGTTGACCATTGTACAATACCACCCTCATCTAACTACTCTCGTAATAGTAATGCACAGCTAACAGCTACCTTTACCGTAAAGGAGCTCGTAAAGGTACGCTACACTGTTACTCGTTACTACTCGCATTGCACAACCCACAGTCAACAGACAACATGTATGTATGTTTATTAGTAAGGCTTCCGCCCATACCGGTATGTATGTTAGTAAGTGTGTGGGCTCTTCAAATGTCTGGAATGATTCCCCGAAAGACAAGACTTAGTCAACTCAAGTGACCCCTTCCAGTCACTCTTTGAGAAAGTCATATTATTTTTAAAAGACTGTAACTCGTTGCTCTTCAACTCGGCAACATTCTTCAGAACGCCAGGAGCACACTCGGAGCAACCATCAAGCTTCTTTGAATACAGCTATAATGACCGAGAAGAAACGAGAGCTCTTTGCATCATAAGAGCACGCGTCGTACAGAACGTTGCCAGTCGCCACTAAAACTACTCCTCCCTCGTGTAAGCCACTACTACCGGTAGCTTCTACACTCTACACTCTTCTGCTCAGAGTACCGGTACCAACCCAACCACCCATGACCACATACCTGTAGACTAACATTATATTGCGAGTTGCCATAGCTTTACCAGCCACTCTGAGAAGCTCTCTGAGCAGACATAGCAGTTGTTTCCAGAGAAAACGTGAGGGAGTGCTGTTGCAAGAAGCGTTCTTTGCCTGGTAGGTCACGCTTACAGGGAAATTTTCGCAACTGGCCTTCATCTCAGGTAAATGCAGTTGCAGCCTTTGCCAACTTTCATGACTCGGGCAGTAGGGCTGCAGCTTGGTGCTACTAAGATTACCTAAACCTACTTATCGTAGAAGTTGCCGATAGAGGACTCATGCTGCAACTGGCAAGAAGCTCTAATACACCATTGGTCGTGGGTAGTCTCCAAGTACAGATCGTTCATGCTCAGCTTCTGCTTGGCCAGCAGGAGCTTGACTGGTAGTGAACATGTGAATAGAGTGTTGTTCCTAGGATCTGCCCCCCTAGGCGTGGTCGTGTGGTCGTTTGTTTGCCTTGGTGCCCGCTGCCATGGAAGATATTAATCTGTGGAGGCTTTCTTGCAATAGACTACTTGACTAGAATACTGCAGCTTGGCTCAGGCCGCGGATTCTTTGTTTTTTACTACCAGTGTACAGATGAAGTCGTTCTAATTACAGTATGGACAATGGGCTCTCTAGTAGTAGGCAGTAGTGGAGGCAGGGAACTGATTGGACATCTAGTATAATGTGTTGGCTTGGTTTGTTGGATTATGAGCATTGCCGGTGTCCACACGGAGGAGCAATAGTTGCTTGGACCGGAAGCAAACGAGGTGAAATACAGGAAGATTGGATTGGAAGTCGTCGTTGTGCTAGCCTTTCTTCTGATGATACTTTGGGTGTTTGCTTTTCGGTAGCCGTGACATGGTCCATCACACTGAACATGTCGTCGTGGACCGTTGCTTGGACCTGCAGACATCCCAAATATCTTGCAGATCCTGTTTGTCGCTAATGTCGGAAAGCGATGAAAAGGAAGTCATTCCTAGAGCGTCCGACTCGGCCAGCGCCAGCGTGTTCAGGGAGAGAACGGAAGGCAACATGGCTTCTTGCATGCAAGGGACAGGATCAAAGATTGCGGAATTGATGGAAAGAGGGTCCGGAGGATTGGTCCGTTCGACCATTTCCGCCATGGCAAATCGCGGGGATTCAGGTTCATCCCAGGAGTAGTTGCGTCTGGAAGCTGTTTGATCATGAGCATTCGCCCTGGCTGTGGCTGGTGCGCTTACGGCTGCTGTGGCAGTTTGTGCAGAAGATGGGAGTGGCATTGGTTCAAAGGGATCTTCATTCACCTTGTTTTGGCTTCCAAACTTGTTGCAGAGTTTGGAGAATGTATCCCACGAATCAGGTTTCTCGCTCTCCTTAAGACTCATACGCAGCTGGTTGGATTCAGTCTCCAATGGAATCGCAGTTTGACTGGACAAGAAGTTGCGAAGACGGTCCATGGTAGCACCTAGGCGACCAATAGTGTGATCGGCAGGTTCCGATGATTCGGTGATGCGTTGATTGAGCGACACACGAACCCGCTTGTTCTGTGGCGACGTTTCCAGTTGGTTATCGAACCGCTCGAGAGTAGAAAACATGTTGGTTTCCAGCTGAGAGCCTTCATTCTTCTCGTCGTCAAGTGACTGTTTCCGTTTCTTTTGCTTGTGTTTCTTGGAACTCTTGTAGGTGTTGAGGCCATCACGAAATGCCTGGGAGATGTTGATTTTGGCACTTGTATCTTCAATGGCGTACCATCTTCCTGTTTCAGTGTCACGCTTAACAAAGCCCAATCGAGAGGCACTGTAGCTTCGCACCTCATTCAAGACACGCCACAGGATGTTGGACTTGAGTCCTTTGGTTGCGGCATTGGAATAGTTTTCAAGTTGCGACTGGATAAGTGCTCGGAATCTGATATTGGCTGGATGCTGTTGTACTTTCTTGCCTCGTCCTATGATCACAACATCGATACCTGGAGTGCATGATAGTAGAAGTTCATGAGCCACAAACCATTGGCTTGAACGCTACCGTAGCAGAGGAGCTATCTTCTCTAAGGTCTTGCTTACCTGGTGAGTATTGCTGTGGCAAAACCATGCGGTCCCTTCCATCATACACAAAAGGAACCGTGGCATCGGCGAATTGAAAGGAGTTGGTGTTGTTCATGCTGTCTGTACTTTGCGCTTTGAGCTTTCGTACTTTGTGAGAATAGGGAGGAGATCCACCGAGAACAACTGAGTGAAGTTCGGATTTGCCCAGACCACATGCATGGTGAAAAGAGTCTTGTTCTCCTTGTGTCACTTGCAGCTTCAACCACTGTATTCAAGCTTTTGTGCTGGCTCGCGCATCAAAGACCAAAGACCTGTGGCCACTGAAATCCACTTTTCTTTTCATCGACCTGGAATCTGGAATGCCTGAAAAAGGGAAATCTATAGGAGGCTTAATAAAGGAATCCCACCAATAAGTACTAGAATGCCGTAAAAATCCTTTGTTCGGGAAAAAGGGAAGCAATTTCGAAGCTAGACACTTAGGGCATGAGCTGGACATGCCACTGGCACATTCGGATCGCCCAGCAACTCGCCACTCAGACCTTTTGGTTGGGTCGCGCCATGTTGGTAGTCGGGCCTAGCTAATCGAGAGATTAGAGATTGGATTGTCAACACACCACCAACTTCGGCAACCATGAAGGACAGGAGGAAAATAAATACTCAGTAGTCTATGTTTTGCGTTTGAGGCTGCATGGCAAGGAAACCTGTGAGATATCAAAGGTGGAACATAGGAGATCAAGGCCCAACAGCTTGTTTATGACTGCAGTTTCGGTGATCTAGCAAATAATAATGGGTTGTTTTCACGATACTAAAGGTGTTGTGTTTTCTTCATGCAAACATGACTTCGCTTTTCTATAAGAGTGCATGCAGAGCGTGCCCTAAGGTGCAATGCAGTGTAGAGGGAGTGAAGGGGCGAGCGGCGTACAATGCTGTGAAGGGCCTCAAGTATTGTGATGACTCGTGCCCGCACTGCTAGGACAAGGAAGGCACACCTTAGAAATAAATGCCACTTTAGTTTACTTAAACGGCGACTGGTGATACCACACTAGTTGTGGTGCTAGTCTAATTGGAATGAATCATATTGTACGAGCTGAAGTGGCAATTAAGGGCAGCATGTCAATAGAGGCTAATAATCAAATGGCTGAAAAAGCCCCCTTCCGTGACAGCAAGAACTGTTTCTTTGCTACTGGCTGGTCCTAATAACAGTCCAATTCGTCCAGCCAATGCACCAATAGTAGTTGCTTCTCGTGCGTTTCTTGCTCTGCAGCCAGATGTCGATTGAGTAATTCGCCCCCCTCGTGAAGCCAACATTGGCTGGGACGGGGAACGGGTAGATCCATGCCAGGCAGAATCACATCCTTGGACTTCACAGCGGCTACGACCTTGCAGGCCAGGAGTGCAGAAAGACTTGGTTGGCTGGCTTTGGCTGCTGTGGACAAGTTACATGCACTGTTCCGTTGATCGGAAATTGTTTCACCACCATGGCTGCAGCGAGTCAAATCAGAGTAGAGTGCATTCTCTAGCCAGAAGAAGGATGCCAGGCATATAGTCCCTGTCTGCGGTAGGCGGTGGGCTGCTTGACTTCTCGTTTCGTCTGAAATTGAGTGGCGCAATACAAGTCGCAACTAAGAACTAGACTAGTCTAAGCACCACGCACAATGGCTAGCAACTTGCAAGACTGGCTACTGGTAGCTGGCAGGATCTCGGATCTGGATCTTGGATCCTGCTACCTGCTACATCATCGTAATAAGAAGCTGACACGAACGTGCATGTAGCCTTCCGACTTCCGGCTTCTGCAAGACTAGCCCCCCCTCCACTACCGGTACCACCACACCCGCGACACAAGGAGTAGTATTCAAGTAAGTATTCGTACAGTACAGTACCTTGGCCGTGGACTGTGGGCTGCAGGGTCGCAGGGTCAGACTCGTAAGTGTGACTTTTCGCGATTATTGGTGGTTAGGAGTTTTAGAGCAATAGAGGAAATGCTCCCCCCAAGGAGTACTCGGAATCATCAATCAAGAGAGCACCCTTCTATGATTTAGATGGGTCTTTATTCTGGTCTTATTATAACCCTTCTGTTAAAGCAGCGAAAGAAGCTACTTGAGTAAGAAGCATTACATTTTTATTGATGACCTTCTCGGAATAATATTCGAAACTGAATGAGGAATGTAATAAGAGGCAAGTCCCAGCAAGTAAGGCTACAACAGCCTACAACAACAGGCTGTTACAATCGCGGAGATGAATCGATGTTGGCGACTTGGCGACCCACCGACCCAGCATGCTGACATGTGAGACTCTTGTGAGTCGAATGATTCGAATCATGCTTTTAAAAAAGGCAACCAACGAAGGGAAAACTCGCCGCCATAGACAACACTCGCTAAAGTTCCAACCCCCAGCATCAAGAAAAAAACGGAACTTTTAGAGGGCACTCTCTATGAATTCTACAGTACCAGTCATACAGCCTGGCTACGGTAGGGAGTGGGACGCATGACTTTCAAAACTGCTCGTTTGCTTGGTGTGAAATTGAGTGGCGCAATCCAAGCCGCAACTACGAACTGAGCACAACCTGATATCTAGCTAGTAAGACTACCACAAGATGTAGTCAGCAGGATCTCGGATCTATGATCCTGCTACAGCATCGCACCGGTACCGCATCACGAAGCTAACACGAACGTGCTTGTAGCTTCCGACTTCTGACTTCTGGCATACGCACGACTGTACCGCATGCACGAGGAAAAGGAAGTCATGAGTCGCCAGTGCCACCACACCTGTGCCCCTACCTTCAAGTATTCAACTGTCACTCGTTGCGTGGACTGGGGTCTGTACTCTGTGGGCATAGCTACCTGGTTGTCTGTATGTTAGAAACTACTCGCTACTGGTGAAAAGGAATAGGGAGCAAAGCTCCCCCAAAGAGTATGGGATCATAATCGCGAGAGCACAATTCCATGATTTAGATGGGGTTTTATTCTGGTCTTAAACCCTTTCTTTTTCTGAGCATGAAAGAAGCCTTGAAGACCTCCCCAGATTATTCGAAACTGAATGAGGAATGTAAGATGAGTCCCAGCAAGCAAGGCTACATCATGCTGTTACGTGATGATGCCTCACATGGCGACCCAGTAATAGTAAAAATAATAAAACAATGTCATGCTGACTTGGGAGGGAGCGAGTCGAGTAAGGGAAGGCGAAGCACAACCGAAGGTCTAGTCTAGCTAGCCAGTAGCCTATTGGGTTGTTTCTGGCCTACCGTACCATACAAGCCTAGCCTAGCCTGTCTAATAGCCAATTTAATGCGAAAGTACATGGTGCAGACGAGAACAGGCCTAGCACAAGTCGAGAGTTGATGCTAAGAAGCTGTCTACGAGTATTATTTATCCTCTGGTACCGGTACAAGCTAGTGCACCTCTCGCAAACTAGAGTACCGATACTCATGTACCGGAACCTCTAGGTACCAGTAGCTAGAGTGGTACCAGGTACCGGTACCGGTAGAGACGCCCCTGCCCTGCACTGCACTACCAGCTCCCCAATGATTGAACACATCCCGAAGATGCTGAAGAGTGGTGAAAAAACTCAAACTGAGGGTGAAAAAAGTGGTTCGGTGGGTTTTTGGCCAGTTCAATCGGGATCTGTACATTGTCATGTAGACTAGCTAGTAGGATTCTACGATTTTCGTTTTAGCAAAGAGTTGATGACGAAACACCAGGAGAAAAATTTGGGCACCCCCCTTTTTGGGGTGCCTGACCTTAGGGGGGCAGATACGAGATTGAAGATTGGTGAGCAATGCCAATCAACATCAGCAGCAGCAACAGCAGACACGAAAGCCACTCAGGACACACGATATCATGAAGTATTACGTACCTGATACTCGTACGATATTCTACGTACAACATCCATTCCAGCACTTGCATTGTTGAGAGCTGGAGTACTTCTGATCGTGACAACAGAAGAGTATCATATTTTATTTGCGAAAGGCACCTGGCTGATAAGACACCAGTCAAGAGCGACAACCCTGCTGAGCCTCGGACTCCGCCTACTTCTCCTGGCTGCGTTGATGTTGCTTTTCCACCAGATCCAGAAGGCGTTTCTACGTTGATTGGCTATTGCGACAAGGGTGATTTGCCGGTGTATTTTGGACGCGAAGTTTCGCTTGAAGAGTACAATAAGTGGCTCCTCAACAAAGAAGATGGATTGCGCGTCTCGTACAAGAAAAGGGTCTTGCTTCGTGAAGGTTGCTACTTGTCGCACGGAACAACCCGACTGAAGCTCGAAGTTGCAATGGATATGGCGTTTACTCCTCACAATTACTACGCAGGGTTTGGCCAGATTACTTCACCAGCCGGGTTACAGAACGTAACTCCAGACTGCATTCTAGCCAGCGGAGTAGCAACTTACCCAGTTCTGGCTGAGGTTGGGCAATCGCAGTCAGAAGAAGAGCTCAATACAAGAGCCAACTTGTTACTTGGTCGGTACCGGGCGCCCGAGTTGTAATCCTTATCAAGATCTTCGACACAAGCAATGCCGAAAATGGTCGAATGGTGGCATGGTGCGCATCTCACGACGCAGCAGGGAATCTCACTTTGTCGGTTGCTGTTGAATTTGGTCGTGTAGGACCAGCAGGGGCGGCAAGAGTTGCATGGGCGGTTGGTGCGCCGCCTCCAGTCATTACAGTTCCGGCGCATGATGCTGTTCCAGCCACGGATGTGCACTTGGATGGGATCTTGACTCGTTTACGTGCTGGTGGCGGCATTTATTGGAGGCATCCTCCTCCTCCATAATTGTCGATACTTTACAATTGTACAGTACATCGTAACATTTCATGAAGGCCCCGGGAATGCCACAGCCACAGACGAATCAGTTACGAAGATAAGGGAATATTCGCAAAGGACAGCCAGCCGGGGGCTAGTGCCCTCAACTTGCATTTTTCTAAAGGCCAAGGAAGGGTTCTGGACCGGTAGCCTTAACCTTGCCAGGGAAACCATACCATATGTACCGGTAGCCTTAACCTTGCAAGGGAAACCCCACCATATGTACGCGACAACACACACACACACACACACACACACACACACACACACACACACACACACACACAAGATAAAGTTCAAAAGGCCCTCAGCTTGC